TTGTATGGCCTGCCTTGCCCACCCCCTGTGCTACTGGATGTGCCTGTCTTTTCATAGGCAGAAGCTGAGGCTGTGCCACTGTCTGGGCAGCTCTGTGGGGAAGGTCAGTGGGCTGTTCTTGCCATCACAGGGTGTTGGGAAGGCCCTGGCCTCCTGCTCCATAGCTCCTCTGACCACCATCCTGGAACCTTCTTCCCACCCCCATGAGCTGAGGCTGTGCCACTGTCTGGGCAGCTCTGTGGGGAAGGTCAGTGGGCTGTTCTTGCCATCACAGGGTGTTGGGAAGACCCTGGCCTCCTGCTCCATAGCTCCTCTGACCACCATCCTGGAACCTTCTTCCCACCCCCATCCCCGTCCCTGCAAGGCACTGACCTCAAATCCAAAGCTTTCCCACTGCTCTTCCTCACTTGGCTCTCTATTGAAGGCATTAATACTTGGAGGTAAGTAACAGGCTGGCCTGTAGGAATTCCTATCTCAGCTCTATTTCTCCTGTGAAGAAGCCCCTTGAAGGCAAGGGAGCTGATAGCCTCATTATTCACACATCCCCCTCCTCAGCCTCAGCCAGGTGCTCTTCAGGGCAGGGCACGTGAGCAGCCCTGGGGCTAGAAGCCGGTTCCCCTGCATTCCAGGGTGAGTGTCTGGGTAGAGGGTGTGCCTGCCTCAGTCTCCTTGGAGGAGGCCCCTGAAGGGCTGGGGAAAATCCTACCCAGAGCCCCAGGCTCTCCTGCCAACCTTGGCCCAGTGCAGGAGACCCTGGACATTAATTAACCCTGTCTCCTAGGCACCCAGTAGTTTCAGAGATAAGGAAGATGAGAAGCAGATTCTCTGAGATGGACTGGCTTAGTCCTCTGGCTATTGAGTTAAAAAACAAGGTTTCTCTGGAGGTGGAATCACGTTTTGTTGGAGTAACCATTTCACCCATCAGGGCTGAGCATGGCCATAACCGCCTGGGGTTGTGTTAATGAAGGAGGTGGGGAGGAGTGAGACACATACATTTTAGATGCATAAAAAAACTAGTTCAGGAAGAGATCTTAGGAATTATTAAATCCAGACAACCTCATATTTACAGATGGAGGAAACTGAAGTGCAGAATCCAAGTGTCTATCACATAGTTGCAGGCTCTAGAAGGCACGTCCCCTGTCTGCTCCTCACCACCCTGTGTTAGGGTCTTGAGGTTGGGTCTATAGGACACAGTCTGTTGTGTTTGGGGACTCACTCTGTCCACAGTGAGGCAAGAGCTTCAGCCATGGAGCTGAAAGAGAGGTCTCTGAAGCCAGAAGACCCTTTTTTTTTTTTTCTGGTGGCTGGCCAGTACTACATATGGTACAGGGAAAGCATGAGGGGGGATTTAAATCTTAGCCCCAGCACTTAACTAACTTCATATGACCTGGCCAAGCCATTCAACCCTCAGAGCTGCAATTTTCTCACCTATAAAATGGGGATAACTGCATTCTTTACAGGATTTTTTTTGTGCGAGGATTAAATGAGAGGCTATATTAAAAGGTGCTTGGTAAATAGTGAACTAATACTATGCGTTCCGTTTTCTTCTTCGAATGGCATGACTCAGGCAGTCAGGCTTCTGACCACTAGAGGGCAGCAGACAAGTACTGGAAAAACTGGGCGAGTGATCCAGAGATTCTACGGGAACCAGAGAGGAATAAACACGTCCATGAGGATTCCAGCACCTCCAGCTGCACCTAGTCAGGGAGGGCTCCATCAGGTGCTGAGGGAAGAACTTTTAAGTAGAGCCAGGTCTCTCCAGGAGTGGCTATAGCAACCTTGATGCTTGGATGGGGTCCAAGCTGGCAGAGTGCCAAGACCTTGCCAACAAAGTAGATGCCAGCAAATGGGCCCTATGGCCAGGCTGGCGGTCCTGGCCGTGACCCGTAGCCCGTGGGTACTGCCTAGTGTTGAGCCTGAAGATCCTCCCATCCGTGCCCAGAATCCTAGGTGTTGTGGGAAAAATCCCTAAACCTCAGTAACTTTTCTCCCTACTAGGTCCCTTTTGTCCCCAAATCTCTGGACATTTAGGGGCAACAGCCTTTCTGACCTAGTTCAGCCAGGGGTTCAGGTTCCCCCACTTGCCCTTCCTTCCTAGCCCATCCCTGGCCTGGCTCCCGGGGGGAATTTCCCAAGCCAGAGGGCGGTCGAAAGCACAAATGCCCACCCCGGCGATGTTCCCGCCACCTGCCTAGGCCAGTGCCCTGTGCCCAACCCCAGAGGGTGCGGGATGACAGATTCTGACAATCATTAAACCAGCCGGGCCTGATTTCCCAGCACCGCCTGCCAGGATCCAGGCCAAGTGGCACAGAATATGCAAATCACCTGGGGCCTAGAGCTCAGTCTAAAGGCCAGGAAATCCCCTCCATCCAATGAGCCACCAGCTCAGGTTACCGCCGAGGACACACTATAAAGGCCTGGGTGTGGGGAGGAGCTCCTGCAAGGCTCTATTTAGGGCGGGGTAGGGGATCCGGGTGACCAGACACCTTAGCGCACCTGGCGGAGCTTCTTTCCGCCTGGATTTCTCTCCTGCCTGCTGCCTCTTAAGTCCACCTGCCTGCCACGTCCGTACCCCGCCATCAGGTAGGACCTCCACCTGTTGTGTTCCCTAGCCGGAGCCTTGGGAAACTGGGGAGGGGTCTAGTGGATTTGCAATTCTGAACTGGCCCACTCCAGTCCAGAATCTCCAAGCAGGAGTATAGGGCAAGGGAGGGGTTGGGGGCTGGGGGAAGCTGTATGAGGGTCAGGGAGCGGAGAGATTGTCCCTGGGAGGGATAGGGTGGCTGTGACTCTGCTAGTCCGGCTCAAGGACTCGGGATCCAAGAATGCAGTCCTAGCAGGAGGGTCTTGTGACCCCACTTTGCTCTGACATCTGGAGCTCCTCTTTAAAATGGGGTGTCTGGGCCGAGCCCGTGGCGCACTCGGGAGAGTGCGGCGCTGGGAGTGCAGTGGCGCTCCCGCCGTGGGTTCGGATCCTATATAGGGATGACCGGTGTGCTCACAGTGCTCACTGGCTGAGCGCGGTGCGGCCGGTCTCAAAAAAAGGACAAAAAAATAAAATGGGGTGTCTGCAGAGACTTAACTTTCCTGCCCCTTGGGACTATTCTGGCCCAGGTGGGCCAGAGCAGCATACCTGAGAGTGTAAGGGGAGGACCCTGGCCCGCTCACCAACCTGGTCCCCTCTCCCCAGGTAGCCTCATGGCTGCAACCTGTGAGATCAGCAACGTTTTCAGCAACTACTTCAGTGCCATGTACAGCTCAGAGGACCCCACCCTCGCCTCTGTTCCCCCTCCTCCCACGTTTGGGGCCGATGACTTGGTGCTGACCCTGACCAACCCCCAGGTGTCGCTGGAGGGCACAGGTGGGTCTCACAGGATGGGATGGGGTGCATTTAGGGGGAGGAGATGGGCCCATCTAAGAACCTGTTAGATAAATTGGGGAATGGACGGCGAGGGGGATCTCCAATCTAGTTCCAGGGCTGGGATAACTGAGGAGACTGAATGGCTGAGAGGACTGTGACAGTCTAGGAGGTACCAGGACAGGGTGTTATAAATACCACCTCCTGCCCTTTTTCCTAGAAGGGCTCTCTGCAGGACAAGGTGGGAATACATGCCAGAAATGGGGCTGCGAGGGTCTGCGCTGACCCTGTCGCTGTGCTTGGTGCCTTGCAGAGAAGGCCAGCTGGTTGGGGGAGCAGCCCCAGTTCTGGTCAAAGGCCCAGGTTCTGGACTGGATCAGCTACCAGGTGGAGAAGAACAAGTATGACGCCAGCTCCATCGACTTCTCGCGGTGTGACATGGACGGGGCCACTCTCTGCAGCTGTGCCCTGGAGGAGCTGCGACTGGTCTTTGGTCCTCTGGGGGACCAACTTCATGCCCAGCTGCGGGACCTCAGTGAGTCGGGCCACTGGGAACCCCGGGTTGGAGTGGGGGAGGATCGGCTCCTCATCCTGAGCTGAGTGTAGCCTGGCCGTGGGAGGGGCTCGAGGGCACAGCCGGGAGAGCCCCCAGTGAGTGGGGAAGGGGAGTGTGACCCCTCTTTCCTCCCTCATCAGCTTCCAGCTCTTCTGACGAGCTCAGCTGGATCATTGAGCTGCTGGAGAAGGACGGCATGGCCTTCCAGGAAGCCCTAGGAGACCCAGGCCCCTTTGGTGAGAGCCCATTTCTCTCTCCTTCCCCAGCCTGTCCTTGTCCCATCTCTATCCCTCCCCAGAGTGCTAGAGATGACTCCTCTCCCCAGACTTCTTCCTTTCCCAACAGAGCAGGTCATCAGACCTCTGGGTAGCCTTACCTGTCCTTGCCCAGTCCCCTGAGCCCTCTCTGAGCCTTCACCTCCTCTTCCCAGACCAGGGAAGCCCCTTCGCCCAGGAGTTGGTGGACGATGGCCGGCAGGCCAGCCCATACTACCCCGGCAGCTACGGCGCAGGAGCCCCCTCCCCTGGCAGCTCTGATGTCTCCACCGCAGGTGAGATCCTTGTCTGGGCCACAGCCCCCCTCTCCTCCAAGTACCCCTAAGCCCCTGGTTCCCAGCACTGGACTGGGCCTTCTGGCAGGAACAGGAGCTGCTGTACAGCATGTCCTGAGAGTCTGCAGCCCCGTTCAGCAGAGGGTGACCTGAAGGGACTCACTCTGACCCCACCCCCAGGGACCGGGACTTCTCAGAGCTCCCACTCCTCAGACTCCGGTGGAAGCGATGTGGACCTGGACCCCACTGACAGCAAGCTCTTTCCCAGAGGTCAGTTGAAGGTGGCTCTGGCCCCAAGGGGGTGTCCCATTCAGCAGTACCCAGGGAGCCCAGTTCTTCCCCTCGTCCCTTCTCTCTTCCATGGGGTTTTCCTGTAGACGGGCTATTCCCCCTAAATACACCTCCATGCCCTCTCTTGACCTGCTCCCTCTGCAATAGATGGCTTTCCTGACTACAAGAAGGGGAAAGGGGATCCTAAGCATGGGAAGCGGAAACGGGGTCGACCCCGGAAGCTGAGCAAAGAGTACTGGGAGTGTCTGGAGGGCAAGAAGAGCAAACATGGTGAGCTCCTGGGGTCTGCAGGCCAGGGTTCCTGGGGCAGGCGGGGCAGGAGCAGGGCTTCCTGCTGAGCTGCAGCCGTTCTTTCCCCTTCCTTCTCTGGCCCCTCACATAGCCACCCTCCCTCCCTTTATAATGGCTATGCACAGTGGGGAGCGCTCCATGGTACTGGTCACCACCTAACTGCAGAGCCTGGCTTGGTGGTCCTGGAGAGCAGGGGAAACCATGGCTCCTGGAGGGAGGCCGCGTGGCACTAGAGTCCAGGTTTCCTGCCTACCTCCTCCAGTTTTCTCCGTACTTAGCCACTGTCCTTACCTGCTGCAACATCCTTGATGGTGTGAGGAGGCAGCTGCTGTGTCTTTAGGTAGAGAAAAGTGCCTCTGAGGCAGCCCCTCCAGCCACCAAGTCATTCTGTCCCCATTGCCTCAGGCACTGTGTGCTACAGCCACTGAGAACCGCGGGGACATTGCCCTGAAGGTCTTCCTTGCCGCTCTGCTTTCTATCACTTGCTGTGCATGCATCAGGCCTGGTTTGCCGCTTGTCCTCAGGGGGGGTATTCTCCCAGGAAGCTGTCCCCTCACCCCCCAGGCTGAGGCCAGCGCTCTGCTTTCTATCACTTGCTGTGCATGCATCAGGCCTGGTTTGCCCCTTGTCCTCAGGGGGGGTATTCTCCCAGGAAGCTGTCCCCTCACCCCCCAGGCTGAGGCCAGCTCTCTGACCCCTGTACTTGCCAAGCTCTTACCACCTGTTATTGTGTTTGCTTTCCCCATGGCCCCCACTAAACCGGGAGCCAGACATTTGATCAATATTTGCGTGAGGAGAACATCTGTGCCTGGTGAGATAGGTCCGGTCCTCCTGGGACTCCCACCAAACAGGAGGGGCAGGGAGGGAAGCAGCCAGTACACCGGGCACAGGGCCACGGCGGAGGGTGTCTAGCGGGGCATCCACGCGGCCGGCCCTGGGATGGGCAGGGCTTTGGGTGAAGGGGACGACCTGGACCACTGACTGATGGAATCTGGCCTTGTAGCCCCCAGAGGCACCCACTTGTGGGAGTTTATCCGGGACATCCTCATCCACCCAGAGCTCAACGAGGGCCTCATGAAGTGGGAGAACCGGCACGAGGGTGTCTTCAAGTTCCTGCGCTCCGAGGCTGTGGCCCAGCTGTGGGGCCAAAAGAAAAAGAACAGCAACATGACCTACGAGAAGCTGAGCCGGGCCATGAGGTGAGCTGGTGGCTGGGACCCAGCTGGCCACAGGGGGACCTGTTGATCCTGACAGGGAACAGGGATGGCTGTTTGTGTCCCGCTGCACTCTCTCCAACCACTACCCGGCTTCATGCAACAAGCTTGAGTCCTGCAGAGTGAGTGAGGACAGCAGCAGTGTCTGCCTGCTTCATAAATTACACAGTAACACGAGAGGGTATTAGCCTGGCACACAGCAAATGCAGCAAACTTCGGCTAACAGCAGCGGTTCTTTGTCTACTTGCAAGACTTGGAGAGTGGTAACCAGAGCATGAGCCGTGCCCATGCCCAGGCCTGGCTCTCCCCCTACTGAAGCAATTAAGCTGCTTGGCCTTGGGCCTCGGTTTCCTCCTATGTACAACAAGGGTGGACTAGATCATCTCTAAGGTCCCTTCCAGCCCTACAATCATGTGGTTTCATGATAAGCCAGCCCAGGACACAGCCGTAGGATACAGAGAAGCAAGGGCAGAACCAGGTACCCTGGACATAATTACAGGCTGGTGTGGTGACAGAACAAAGACTGCTTGTCCTTGCAGGTGGGAAGGAGAGAGAGCCTCAGCTTAGACTGGACATCAGTGGGGATAGGTCACCCGATGGTAACTCTGGGCCAGATGGGATGGGAGGCGGTGGCAGTCCAGGCCATGTTTTCTGCCTGAGCACCTCTGACCACCCTTCTTTCTACCCAGGTACTACTACAAACGGGAGATCCTGGAACGGGTGGATGGCCGGCGGCTCGTCTACAAGTTTGGAAAAAATTCGAGCGGCTGGAAGGAGGAAGAGGTTGTCGAGAGTCGGAAATGAGGAATTTAGCTGGACCCGGGACCAAACTCATGGACTCTGGGAGGAAACAGACAGGCCAGATGGCCCCCTCTGTTTGGACATACTCCCTGCTGCAATGGAGAGAAGCTGAAGTTCTGGGATACTGTTGGCCCGTAGGCCATTGTCCTGGGAGTCAGGGCCTATGGCCTTTCCTCCCTGCTCTCCTCTTGGAATTACAAGCCCTGGGGTTTGAAGCGACTCATCCGCTGACTCTAGCTGCAGTGCATCTCCTTTCATCTGGCGCATCCTCAGACCCAATCCCAGATACCAGCTGCAGACGACACCCTCCTGCAGATGCCTGGACTGAGCCAAGGAGGCCAGGAGAGGCCCCAGGGGAGCACCAAGACAGAGGATGGGGGTCCCCCAGCACCTTCTTTCTGGACTGGCTTCTGCCACCTCCCTGCTCAGTGCTTGGACTCTATGGGCAAGGGTCAGAGCACTCCCTAATTTATGTACTATAAATACGTCAGATGTACATAGAGATCTATTTTTTCTAAGACGTTCCCCTCCCTCCTTTCCTAACGAGCACTGGTGGCCAGACTGACTGTTCCTAGGCCTCGCTGGGCCAGTGAGGGGCGGGGTGGATGCCAGAAACCTCAGGATGGGGCTCCTGGCTCCTTTATCCTGTGAGTGGAGGCAGAGACCTCCAATAAAGTGCCTTCTAGGCTTTTTCTAACCTTTGTCGCAGCTGCCTGTGTACTGAAATGTGGGCCTCTGGATTGGATGAGGTCATGGGGTTGGGGGAGGGGAGGACAGGGGGTCTCCCGGGCTGAGGGCAGAGGAGAGCAGGTATGAACTTCCTGCTGCAGGAGGGTTGGGCTTACAGACAGGTTGGCTGAAGGCTGGGAGGGGAGCACGACTAAGAAAATTTACAAGACTTCAGGCAAGCAAGGGCGTGGGTGGAGGAAGCTGAGGATGGGGCTGTCTTGCTACCACAGCATGTGCTTGGTGACCTTGGCATAGTCTGTCCTCTTTGGGGCTGTTGCGTCCTGTAAGGCTGGGGTTTGAACCTGATATTTTCTTCTCTTTTGGTGGCTGGCCAGTAAGGGGATCCAAACCCTTGGCCCTGTTGTAACACCGTGCTCTCTCACCAGCTGAGCAACTGGCCAGCCCCGATGTTTTCTAAGAAGTCTAGAATTGCACGTCTGGATGCGTTTGCATTTGAGCCAAGTTGGCTGTAAACTAAATATCTGTAACAAGAATCCTAGCTTTGATGTCTGACATGAAATCAGAGACAGATCTTGTGAAGGGAAACAAACAAAACAAAATGGAGATGAACACTTGGTGGGGAAGAATGGAGGAAGAAACTGACCTTTGTTGACATCTAGTCTTATACCAGCTACAGTGCGAGGCGCAAATTTGCCTCATTTAATCCCAAGCAGAGAGAAGATGTATCGTTCCCATTCTACGGATGCAGAGAGTGGGGCTCAACAGGTATACCTTGGTTCTATCCTTCAGCCTTCCTGCGATCTTCTGGTCTAGAGCTCTTCTGACTTAACCCTCAGCAGACTCCAGACTGTTATTCTGTGTCCACAGTAATAATGTGTCTTAGTTTTGGAGAGGACATCTTCTTGGTGAGAGATGTATGTAGGGTTACTTATGAAGAATACGTTCCAGGTGGAAAGTTCCTTTAATTTGAGGCTTCAAATTCCTTACAGCACATTAAAAACCCATTTTTTAAGTTTGAGATACTGCTCTAGTGTCTTGGAAGTACTATATTATTCACTGAAGAGATGTGGGTAAAGAAGGGATCCTAGAAGAACAAAAGGTTGCGCGTGCATGTGTACATGTGCCCGTGTGCATGTGTGTGTGTGCCTGTGACTGGGGCTTGCTCTGGAGGAACAAGGAACAGTGGAAAGTAAGTGGGGACGTTGGTTGAAAGAAACAGTGGGTCGTGAGAAAACCTAGAATCCTCTGCAGCCATTCTGGGAAAAGTTTTTCTTACATTTCCCTTCTGAAGTGTGAGCAAGTTAGCCAAAGAGGGTAGTTAGTGGGCAAGGACACAGGTTTAGCCTCAGACAGACCCGGCTCTCATGCTGACCAGGCCACTTAGCTGGGGACCCTTTGGAACTACTTACCCTGATAGTGATCTCATTTCTTGAGAATTAATATGCACTAGGCATTGTGCTAATTTCTTCACCCACATTATCTTGGGGGTCCTTACACCCTGAAGAGAGGTTACCCAGTGTTCCTGGAGTCACCTAGCCAAGAAGTGGGGATGAGCCTTTGGGACCTGGGACACATTTGCGCGTTACACCTCCCTTGGTCCTCAGTTTCTTCAGCTTTGAAAAGGAGATCCTAGCAGTGAGGCACGCAGTAGAGGGAGTAGAGGGCATGTGTTGGGCAGAGGGCCGGGAATGTGGGGCCAAGCCCCTTATCCTCTGCCAAAGGGCTGGAGAGGCAGCCGCAGGCCGCCCTGCACACTGACCTTCGTCCTGCCCTTTCCAGTTTATGAGACGCTTTCCTCATCCCATTATCTCGTTGGATCTGCCCCACAACCCTGAGGAGACTCAGGGTCCCCATTTCACCGATGAGGGTAGGGGCCGGCCCAAGGGCACCCACCAGGTGAGAACAGGGACCAGAAGCCAGCACTCCTGCACCATGCTGCGGCTCTGTGTGGGCACCTGGCAGGTGGCCTCTGCTGGGAGGACACCTGCTGCGGAGCCTGGAAGAAGGCAGCCCCCGGGAGGCGAGGCGGGGCCCTCCTCTCGTCCCATAGGGATGTGTTTCTTACTCAAGGCGTCTTTCTCCCCAGCGTTGCTGTCCACCCCCCATACCTCAGAATCTCAGCACACGCCCCGGGCTGGCCTTTCTCAGCCACCTCCCTTAGCCACTGCCAGTCACTCTTACCGCCGACTCTCCAGCCCAGGGGCCTCTGAATGGACTCCCACCCAGAGACAGGCCCTGTCTCTCTTCACCCGGGAAGCGAGGCAGGCGAGGCGGGGCCCTCCTCTCGTCCCATAGGGATGTGTTTCTTACTCAAGGCATCTTTCTCCCCAGCGTTGCTGTCCACCCCCCATACCTCAGAATCTCAGCACACGCCCCGGGCTGGCCTTTCTCAGCCACCTCCCTTAGCCACTGCCAGTCACTCTTACCACCGACTCTCCAGCCCAGGGGCCTCTGAATGGACTCCCACCCAGAGACAGGCCCTGTCTCTCTTCACCAGGGTTTGTGTGCCCATCGTGTGTGCCCTGGTCTGGGGGGTGGGGGTGGGGAGGAGGCCACTGGACTGGGCTGTTTGTACCCTTCCCTGAGCTGCTGGTCACCTCTTATCTGCTTCTGTGGGATGGGGTGTGTTGCCTTGCAGGTCAAAGGGAGGTCACCCCTCCTGTGTTTGGGTGTGCCTGAGGGAGGGGCTTGGCTTGTGGCCTCCCCTGGGACAGTTCCTGGATTCCGCCCCCACCCCTGCCCGCAGGTCAGGGGAAATCTAGCTTCTCAGACCCTCCTCCATGAAGTAGGTAAAGAGGTCGCATTGGTACAGCAGGTTGCGTTATCAGGGGGCTCATTTCAACCTGCTCTTTCCTTCTGATTATCTGTTTACACATCTCTCTGCCTTAATGGGCTGTGAGCGCCTCTGGGCTGGTGCCGGGGATTTATCAGGGGGCTCATTTCAACCTGCTCTTTCCTTCCTTTTATCTGTTTACACATCTCTCTGCCTTAATGGGCTGTGAGCGCCTCTGGGCTGGTGCCGGGGATTACTCAGCGCCTTGCTCAGTGCCTGGCACAGAGAAGGTGCTTGATAAATATGGGGACTCTCCCTGCCCTGGACACCACCTCCCCCACCCACACCACACACACTTGTACACACGTACACCACACTCACACACCACAAACAACACACATACACACCACACACACTCGTATACACCCATGTATGCCGCACTCCCACACTCACAGATGCACAAACACACACCCACATGCACTCGCGAGCATTGCCGACACCACGCACTGGCACACTCATGCACTGGCACACACGCACTGGCGCACTCACGCACTGCCGCACTCACTCACTGGCACACTCACGCACTGGCACACTCACTGGCGCACTCACTCACTGGCACACTCACTCACTGGCGCACTCACTGGCGCACTCACTCACTGGCACACTCACTCACTGGCGCACTCACGCACTGGCACACTCACTGGCACACTCACTCACTGGCGCACACACGCACTGGCGCACTCACTGGCGCACTCACTC